TGGAAAAGAACATGGAAACTACTATTTCGGGCTGAGAGTCTAGGGTCTGGGATTCAGGGTCAGGGTCTAGGGTTTGGGGTTCAGGATTTAGGCTTCAGGGTTAAGGGATGTGGGGTTTACGGATTTATGGTTCAGGGTCTCAGGCTTAGGGCTTTAAATGTAGAGTATATGGCGGTTATATCGGGATATTAATACGGTTTTAGGGCCCACATGCTTTAACATTCATGGTATTTGGGCCCTGGGTCCTTGGACCCTTAGGGACTATGAGAGCAGGGGCACACACATTCCCATGTGGCCTTCTCATCTTGCATGCTCCTACTTTCCCTAAGGCTCTAAGGGCTCATAACATAAGGCTATCGGGCCCATAGACCATACTATAAAAGGCTTTTGGGTTATTTTGAGCCTTAGGGTTTGAGTTTGATACTGTACCACGTGCACCCCCCCGCCAGCCAGACGTACGCTGGTGCAGAAGTCTTGTGTCGCTTTGAAGAGTATTTGCCGGGTCAAGAGAACTTAGGATTTGTACTGATAGTCCCTACAAATCCCAGGTGTTGCGAGTATCAACCTACCTACTAAGCCGCTATAAATCCCTGGTTCTAAGCCCTCCTATAAGCCCTAAACCTTGAATATCATCGTGCTTTCAGTTTTTTGTTCAAGACGAGCTCACTTCCTAATTCACCCTGACCCTACACCCCTACACCTAAACCCTCATTCGCAGGGTTTAGGATTTGGAGCTTGGGATCTGGCATTTAGGATCTAGGTGGTGGAGCTTGTCAAAACCCAAGTATCCAGTTATCTAAATATCAGGATTTTGGGTACCAGACACCACCAAATTATCGAATTCAGGACCCAAAGTCCCAGTATTTGGGTACTTGGAAAATGATCAATGGCCCCTTTTGGGGTACCCTATGTATAAGGGGCTGTATCATACTGGGGACCTAAGAAGAGGCAGTAATCTTGACAACCTACTAAGTACTAAGTCTTTTGGGCTAAACGTGTTAGGTTGGCAGTTTTTTCTATACAATTTATGGCTCAGGGTTTAGGCTAACATACCTTCTGTTCTCTGCAAGCATTGGCCTCATGTATACCTTCGAATCCAAAGCTCTAAGCCTTACCAAGCCGTGTACCTCAGACTGACATGGAAACCCAAACCTTTAGGGGTTTAGGGTTTGGGGGTGTAACACGAAGGTATAAGGAATTAATGTAGAGGACTCAGGCTTTGGGTTCTACTGTAGCTACGTAGGGAGTATATGGGAATGCTGCTATACTCAGGCTGTCCAGTACACGTGTCGTTGGTAGGATAGCTTAAGCATGGTACACTCTGGTACAGAATAAGTCGAATGTATACTGTAGATGCGCATGGTTTCTAACCCCAAGCCCGAAACCCTAAACCCGGAGCCATACACCCTAAACCCTAAACCTAAACCTCAAGCCCAGAACCCAAAACGTTGGCCTAAATCGCGCTCTGGCAGTTTCGGCTACTACGCCACGGACTTGCGCGAGACACCCCAGGTACGACTTCTCGTGCTTAACACCGCGAAGCTTGTCTGCTCTTCCCCAGACATCTTGGAGGATCTAGAAAATAGATCCCCCTTCCATAAACCCGAAACCCTAAACTTTAAATCCTCAGAGTTTAGGACGTTTCGGAGGTTTTTGAATGCCCCTAATTCAGGCTTTCTACACATTCTCTAATGGTAGCATATGGTACCAAACCGGGGGCCCTACTTTTTAAAGTGTTTCTTAGGTCTGAGTTTGCCTTCGAAGAGTTGATCGCAGAAATGGGTTATACTTTGGGTTTCTGAAGGCCTAAATAAAAGCCCAAGGCCAAACTTCCAGCCCCCAAATTCTGCACCCTAAGCATCCGAAATCCAAGCTCTATTCAGTACTTGAGCGCGTAGGAATAAAGGCGGTCTAAATAGGGGGCTCTGGACCCCCTAAACATTAAACCCTAGACCCTAACAGGGTCTAGGGTTCAGAGTGCAGGAATGCGGCTTTAGGGCGCGGAGTGACACGGAAATTGGGTATGGATTCAGGAGGATTTGGGGACGTAGGGATTCAATGTTCAGAGCATTGGATTTGGGATTTGGGGTTGGCGGTTTGGGGCCTAAACTCTAAACCCTACATCCTAAACCCCAAACCCTAAACCCCTAAATCCTAAACCACTAAATCCTAAAAATGGCAACCCCTGGAACCGATAACTCTGAACGTCAAACTCTGAACCTGGAAGCTCCTTGAAACTAAGCTCTAATGTCTGTTGCGTATACCTAAACCCCCAAAGTGTGGAGAATAATGGCTTTGGTTTGCTATGTTTGGGTGGTTTTGGGCCATTATTCTACACACTTTGGGGGTCTAGGTATTTCTGAGGAACAGCTGAAATTCTAAATTCTACCAGGGTTTCAGGGTATGAAGGGGAACCGTAAGCCGGTGACTTCGCCTTGCAGACACAACAGTTAGCGCAACCTCCCCAAGACTAACCTGGATTCCCAGCTGTCCCCCTTATTTGGTAGGAGATGGACGAGGTCAGTTCAAGGAATGGAAGAACAGGGCCCCTCTTTGGAAAGAGCAGTAGGTTTCTGTTTTGGGTTCCATGTTAGCTCCAGGGATCCCTAAACTAGACCCTAAACTAAGCCCTGGTAGAACATCTTTGGCCTTCAGGGTTTGGGACGGATGCTCAGAAAGAGCAGGAGATGACACGCAGGCTTCAAAACCCACCCGAGAGCCCAACCTCCTAACTCCAATAGATTCCCAACCAGCAAGTGCAAATCTGGAAATCATTCAGCTCCATTCTGGATCTGCAACAAACCTCTCTTCCTTCCGTAAAATGCCGGAAACTCATCCAAAACCACTGAAAATGCTAGCCCTCATCCCCTAGAATCCTTAACCCCAAAATCCTCTAACCCCCACCGGGCCTTGACGCACTGCCCCAGGATCTACTCCTTGGAAGGTGCTTACCTGAAACCTGCCAAGGCTCCGTGACTTAGGGTTAATGGATTTAGGGGTTCGAATTTAGGGGTTTTAGGGTATTCTAGTCATTGTCCGCTTGCAGGTTCATGGGAAGCTATACTCTTTGCTTCAAGCGTGGTAGCCCTGCAAAGCATCTTCCGATTCGATACACCCGTGAACCTTAGACCCTAGACCCCACATTAGGAGGGCCTGCGGGGACGGGATGGCATGAGGTTTCTCAAAGTCCGAGCTCCGGATCTTGTGGAAGGTCAGATGCTCCGTGAAAATGAAGACTTCTTTACATTCTTCCTGTAGTCAAGCAGTTTTCCTTTGAACTTTTGGAGTAAATTATAGTCATCATGGCTTAAGGTTGATGTGTTGTTCCCCCCTTTTTTGAGGGCAGGGAGGGAATCCGCCAGCCAGCTAGGTGCTCCCCCCCTGTACTGTACAAAATTGCGGGGTCGGAACAGCAGTCCCATATTTGGGGGCTCTTCAAATCTGCGAAGTCCGCATAGGGTTTAGGGTTTAGGGTAAGCTCTTTAGAAAGGTCTTGGCTGGAGGATTAGGATCAGAGCTGTAGCTATGGAGAAAGGCTAAATCAGGTGGAAAACAGTTGTTGCAATGCAGATGCAACTCTTGTCTAAGTGGGTTTTCTCTTGTGCCCGGTCTAGGGGCGGGAAAAATGCAACCAGGTACAACCCTGTACTTGGTTGCTCTCGAGGAGCCTAAGATGAATTACTAAAATGAGGAAACCCTATTTCTACATACCCATATGATAGTTACTTAGTTTAAGTTCCTGAGCTGCAACCCAGTTATTACAATGATCATGAAGGACATCACTCGTGCTTTCTGATTACACCTACCTAGGTTTGGAATTCAGTGTCCAGGGGGGTTGTTGTAGGGCCGCGATGAGTTTGGCCGGCTTTGGAGCTGTGATTTCAGATGAGCCATGGTCTAAACTCCTTAAAGGACTGTATGAGCTGCAGTCTAAACTCCTTTAAGGGGGTTATTTAGGGGATTATATAGGGGACGACTATAGGGGTTGTTAAGAGAGTTTAGGCAATGGCTCACATCGGGGCGTATTGTAGGGGTTATTAAGGGGGATACTAGGAGTTTAGACAATGGCTCAGATGAGTTCTGCTTATCCAGCAGCGTTTTCTGATGGTGTATGTTGACCTGCCAAGGTACCTGTGTGATGACTTGTCATGTTGTCTGTGTATCAGGGGGTTCCCCTACTACCCCTCCCCCATACTACCCCCTAGGTTCCCCTCAGCAAATGCTATTCAGGGAGAATTTCTGCTAGCTAAGGCTCATCCACAGGGGGATAATTGTATTCGCTTATGAGTACTAATTGTGGATCATGCTTCGTATTGTTCCGCCTCATAGCTTGCATACATATATATATATACATATACACACACATACGTGCTTAGATATACAAACTAACAGATCCAACAGGACAGGGTCTATAATGTCTCAGAACTCCTTAAACTCCTAAACCTTAAGCCCTAAACCCTAACCTAAACAATTGCCAGCCTAGAACCCTCAGCCCTAAACTGGCTGGTGCTTAAGGGAGAGCGCTGAGACAGTCTAAGCATTCTTGCAGAGGATTCTATAGGAATAGTTGTGGGGGTTCGCTCCCTTGCTTATGGTTTAGGACCTGTAAGTCAAAGCCCACAGACTCCGAACAACAATGGGATTCCTAAACCCTAAACCTAAAAACCCCAATCTGCAAATCTAGGATCCTGCAGGTATCACAGGAGTTTTACTTTGGAGGCATTTGACTTATGGATTCCCTACTACCCCCATGTCATCTACTACCCCGCTATAGGTTCCCCCTTAATTAAGATTATTCGAGGCTAGTTAGGGGTAGTTAAGATTAATTGAGGGGGAAGCTGGTGGGGGAAGTAAAGACGGGGTGGTCAGGAGAACCCATGATTCAGGCTTCTGAACCCTCGACCCTGAACCCTAAACACCGAACCCAAATTCCCTAAACCTTAAACCCTACACCCTGAACCGGAGCCAAGGAAGATGATCCTTACCATCAGTTTGCGTGGATGGACGCGTAGCTTTTCTGCGAATCGGCGGTTGAGAATTTTGGGTTCAGTGTTTAGAGTTTAGGCTCTTGGGTTTTGGGGGCGTATATATACACTTTAATGGGATGTATTTAAGTCCGACTGGGATCCTAGTACAATTTCAGGTATATACCCGAATTACAGTACATTGGGCTTCCTGGGCTATTCTGTGACAACTTGACGTAAGTCTTACTCCTAGAGTGCCTCATATGATGCCAGGGGTGCTAATAATATCATGTAATGAATGCTCGTTAGTGAGGGGTTACCATCAGATGATACCAGGATCCCTGATAAAAGATACCAGGATCCCCAGCATTATCTTATCGTTTTATTAGCATCGTATGGATCTTTTGAAGCTGGTGCTAGGAGCTTCAGAATGATTCTGAAGTGGCGCTGGGATCCTATTTTACGGGGGATATGGGATATGTTTCAATTCAGGGAATATGGGGAGGTGTGGCTGTATCCAGCATAATATCTTGAAGGTAAACCTTAGAGTAACTCTCCAGACTAGTCCGTGAATACGGTTCCCTATAGCAACCAACAGTAACTCTATAGCTCACCCTGTAGCAAACCTGGGCCTTCAGGAACCTTTTGGGTGTAAAATCCTTGCGTAGTTCTAAGATTTCTTTGAGGATGGGCAGATCGAGCTTTAGGGTTTAGGGCCGGGCTTTAGGGTTTAGGGGCCATTGGGTTTAGGGTGTAGGGTCAATTGGGTTTAGAGTTTAGGGATTAGGGTTTAGGGGCAATGGGGTTTAGGGTTTAGGGTTGAATGCACAGAATGTACCAGAAACAAAGTGACACCTTCAGCCCAACTAAATTGGAGATTAATTTATAAGTGGCTTAGGGCCTAGGGCCTGGTTGATGGGTTTTCTTGGGTACAGGGGTTAAGGGCTTAGGGGTTCAGAGTTAATGCGCGTTCTAAGTATGGTAGCTGCACCTGAAAGCAGTCAGAACCTGATTTGGATGCAAATAGCCCTCAACCCCTTCCCTTTAAATGGTAATTAAAATTGGTTGGGGCTCTTATTATGAAGGAAAGGGGGGATTGCGGACTTCCAAGTGACTACTCTCAGGGCGATCAAAAGGTGGGATGAAGATAGCTGAGCAAAAGGATGCTCATGTTTGTCTCCATTCCTAGACCCCCCCATCTACCTTCTACATACCCTAATTACTCACTATGAGGGGCCATTTGCCTTTGTTTAAGGGAATAAGGAGGGTCCTGGTTATGCGGGGGCTCATTTCCTACATCCGACCTTCCTTTTCCTAAACCCTAAACCCTAGACCTTAGATCCTAAACCCAAAACCTTAAACCCTAAACCCTGAACCCTAAATCCAAAACCCACAACCCTAAACAACTAATGCGGAGGCAGCTCAAAGCAGCTGCCGCCAAGGGCTACAAGGCTGCTCTACTTCACTTCAGAAGCTTCTGGTGGTTTAGGGTTTAGGGTTTAGGGTTTCAGGTTTCGGGTCTACGGTTTAGGGTTTAGGGTTGTGTATCCTAAGCCCTAAACCTTAAATCCTAAGCCCTCAACCCTAAACCCTAGGAACTAAGCCCCAAACCCTCACCCCTAAACCCTAAATCCTGAATCCTATACAAAAAGCTCTTCTATTCCTACGCAATCCTCATACATGCTTAGGTAAACCACCCCACCCCTAGCAAGAAATACCCCTCGAATAGTACCATTAAATATTAGGGGAGCATTCATTGTAAGGGTGTAAGGGGATGGAATGAAGAAAGCGCCATTAAGAGAGATCCTGGTGGGCGGAAACTCTGCAAACTTAGACCCTTACAAGCCTTGGAACCCCTCTTAAGGAGTTCAGACCCGAAAACCTAAACCGTAAACCCGACATAACCCGTTTAAGGAGTTTAGCTCTAAACCCTGCCCCTATATAACCCCCTTTAAGGAGTTTAGCCCTAAACCCTATATAACCCCTTAGATAACCCCCTATAGGAACCCCCTTTAAGACGTTTAGACTATAGCGCATGTGGCAACCAACATCATGCCATTGAAGTTTTGGGGTCTGCGCCCTTGTCTTGCACAGGAAGGAGGTTTTAGGGTTTAGGGGTTTAGGGTTTAAGGCAAGTATCAAGGCAACATGCCGAGAGGAAGTATCCAAAAGAGGCTTTCCCGAGGAGCTCGTCAGGGAACTACTGCTAAAGATCACTTCACACTTGGAAGTTTAGACGCAATCTGAAAGCCCAAGCTTTACAGGTTAAAGGTTGAGCGCCTTCCAGGCAAATTGCAGAGAGTTGATGAAGCTTGTATCATGGACCATTTTTTGTAACTTTAGAAGGAGCTTTGACAGACTGACCTGGAGGTCTAAAACGCCTCTTATGCAACTATGATTACTCGGGCGCTTCGAAGCCTTGATTTCAACAGTGTGCATCTGGGTCTACGCTGGGGTTCTCTATTTACGGAAACTGCCATGTAACAGTCTCCCCAGTACTTATGCATGGAAGACCCCTCGGCCTAGAGCAGCAGCAGGAGGCTACCCTTGGGCGTGCTTTTCTAACACTTTTGCACTTTCAAACTTCCGGCTCCCGTTATTGTATATTTTTTTATCCAAGATTAGGGGTACCCTCCTTGGGGGCTCCTAGAAGTCAAGGATGATAGTATTTTGGGGTCTATGTTGGGGTCCCCATGTTTTGGTAGGCTACCATCTACCAGGTGCTAGGCACTCTTTGCTTCGCCCCCTGAGCCCTAAACCCTAAATCCTAAACCCTAAGCCCTAAACCCTAAATCCTAAACAAGCAGCAGAGTCCTCAGGTTTACATTATGGGCCATCTTCCGCCCGTCGTCGCGTCCTTCACCAAGGAAGCCTTGCGAAAGCCCAAGTCATGAGCAGAGGTTTGGGTTAGGGTTGAACGTCTAGGCTAAATCCCTAGACCCTCCACCTACCCTCTATATACCCTGAATGCCCACTGTTAGGGACCATATAGCCCTATATGAAAGGGTGCAAGGAGGGTCCTGGTACCCTAAACCCTAAACCCTGACCCTTAAATCCTATAATTCCTAAGCGCCTAAACCTTGAACCCCTAAATCCCCAACCCTCAGCCCTAAACCCTAAGCCTTACATCCTACGCCCTAAACCCCTAAACCCTAAACCTTAAATCCTTAACCCCTAAACTCCAATTAGCCCAATGTAGGTAATATTTACAGACTTTGGGGCCCAATGTAGGTATTATTTGTATACTTGGATCCCTACATAGCCCCTTTATAACCCCAGTTTCCATTTCATTTTCCATTTTCTTCTCCATGTGATTCTCCAGTATTGGACTTGTTTGGGATAAAGAATCGTGGCACCACGGTGGATACTAGAAATCCTGCATGACCCTAAGTACCTTATACCTTGGGAATAATGGTACTATAGTATACTATAAACGGACTCTACTGGGAACCCCAAATAGGGAACCCCAAGAATATAGCAGGAATATGATGGAATATAAGGACCCTGGTAGGTATATTCCTATTATATACCTACTATATTCTTGGGGTTCCCGGTTTGGGGTT